TTTAATCCAGCATTCTCTCTCTTATGAACCCACATGAAGATACACACCTAACAATAAGGAAATGCATATGCACAAGCATAGCAGTCAATATAGTATCACTTACGATGAAACACCCTGGGAACGGAAATGCCCATATATGAAAGCACAGCTGAATAAACTATGGTACATCCATACGATGGAGTACTATGAGGAAGTTCTCTGTGCACTGATATGGAGCAATTTCCAGAACTTGGCGCTAAGTGAAAAAAGCAAAGTACAGAGTGTCTATAGTAATGCTACCCTTCAGATCAGAAAGAAGAGATTATAATGAAAGCAGAGGCCCGTTGCATGAAGAGATCCGTGCAATAGGTCTTCTTTCCCTTGGCTCCCAACACTGGCTCTCCTCCGGCATCTGGGACCCAGGCCTTCGCTCTGGGTGGAGTCTGCCGTCTTCGTCTTCGCTGCAGACTCCAGCTGGAGTCTGTTGTCTTTGTTGCAGACTACTGTCTTCATCTTCGCTGCAGCGGGAGTGCAGCTCCTGTAGATACCTTCGTCCCCCACCCTTCCTCTCAGAGCAAGCGTTCTGGCTACTCCACCTGAAGCTGGGCGGCCACCATTTTGTCCTCCTGGTTTGCATATTCTCTCCTGATTGGCTGGTGGGTGTAGCAGAGTGATGGTCAATTTGCATGTTTCTCTTTTATTAGTGTAGATAGACATGGTTTTGCTCATGTTTGGACTAATGTGAGTTCCCTGGTTCTGATAACTACACTATCATTATATAAGATGTAAACACTGAGGAAGATTGGGAGAGGAACATAAGAAAACTTAGTACTTACACGTTTTCTGTGTCTATAAGTAATTCCAAATAAAAGATTGTTAAAAGACCATGTTAAAAGACCAAGGGCAGAGAGTTATTCAGTTAGGTGTCCCCAGTACCTCCAGAATCTTTCCCCTACTGATGGTTCAGTAACATGTGATATGATGAATGGATAAGTTAAAAAATGACTGACAAGTTATGGTATCTAATGAAGTACTAAGTATGTATAGACAAAACAATCAAAATGCTGTACGTTGAAGTTATTTCACTTATAAAAACAACAGATTAAAAACAGGAAATGAAACTTAAAATGTAAAACCACAGAGGGATCATGAAACTCCTTAAGTAAGAACTTGCAGGAGCTAAAGGAACTTTGCAAATGCTATGCGATGGTTGGGGAATTTATACAAAGATATAATTAACTGACTTCAATCATTATATATTTACTAGAGGCCAGGTGCATGAAATTTGTGCACGGGCAGGTTTCCTAGGCCTGGTCGGTGATCGGGGGCCTTCCTTTCCCAGCTGCTGGCCAGGGCCTTCCTTTGTTCTACGCCGCCCCATGGTCAGCACACATCACAAGTGGTCAAACTCTCAGGAGGTCGAACACCCAAGGGGACAATTTGCATATTAGCCTTTTATTATACAGGATAACCCTGGCTGACCATAACATAGTATGGAGATAGACTAATTCGGAGTGGAAAGAAGATTACAGCCAGTTTAGGGTTTCTTGGTCTCAGGCTTTCAGAAAATGTACTCTAAAAAAAAAAAAAAAAATTAAATATATAATATGCAAAGTGTCCCCTAAGGAGTTTTTCTGGAGGACCAGGAGTTTTAGTTGCTTGCTGTTGTGTGCACTGACCACCAGGGGGCAGCAAAGAATGAAGGAAGGCCCTGGTCGGCAGCTGGATGGCCCTGATTGGCCCTGTTTGCCTGCCAGGCCTAGGGACCCTACCTGTGCACGTTTTCGTGCACCAGGCCTCTAATATTTCTATAATTTTAATTCCCAGTAAGGTGATAGTTTGTATCTTTATCTGCCTTAAAATGTTTTCCTCCTAACAATCACGTGAAGTAGGAAGCAGATAATCAGAAAGTTGGAAGAGTTCTAGTCAGTTTGGCTCAGTGAATAGAGCATCAACTACGGACCGAAGGGTCACGAGTTTGATACCAGTCAAGGGCAAGTGCCTTGGTTGCAGGCTCGATCCTGGCCCTGGGCACGTGAGGGAGATAGCCAATGGATGTGTCTCTCTCACATCGATGTTTCTCTCTCTGTGTCTCTCCCCTTCCCTTCCTCTCTCTAAAAATCAATGGAAAAATATCCTAGGGTGAGGATTAACAGCAACAAATAAATGTTGGAAAAGAGCCCTCAAGCTGATGAAACGTGGACGCCCTCATGCTGCCCGCCACCCACCAGTACTGGAAATTCATTGTCACAGGGGCCCGGAAACCTGAGAGTGCTGCCCAGCTCACAACTCAGTCCAATCACAAAGCTACCCCCTAGACCAAGCATGTCAAACTCAAAGCCAAATAAATACAAGCTAAATAAATAAGCTTTACGCTTACGTGGGCCGCAAAAAACCAAAAGCTTCAATTTTCATATTTAAAGGGTTTATTTCAATAGAGATATGCTGAATACAAAGGGCTGAAATAAATGTGTAATCATTAACATAAAATAGAACATCTTAATAAAAATCAATATTTTTTTCTTTAACATTAACTTACCAGACATGAATAACTGCACAAATTAATAAGCGTAACACAAAGAGACCTATTTTTCTTTTTCTCAGCAAAATATTTCTTGTTGCGCACACCAAACAAGTCAGTCCAAGACTAATGATGTGGCAATCAATTGCTAAAATATTTGCTGCTAGTATTAGTGGAGAGAAACGGTGCGCCTGCAAGTAAGGTGAGTAAGGGAAATGAATGCAACACGATTATAGTAATCAGTCATTAGCGAACAGTGTAGTTCATTATTAATAATTATGTATAACGGGATATTGTAAAAATTAAGTTACAAAATCTTTATTAAAAAGTTTCTTACATGCTGTTATATTGGCTGGGCCGCATGCAGCCCATGAGTTTGACATGCTTGCTCTAGATCTTTGATTATCAATAAAACATTATGTTTAGGGTAAAAAAAAGTAACATGGCAAATAAGTCCTCAGGTGAGATTTTTAAAAAAAGAAAAATAAAGACTACAAATCTTAATAACTTCTGATAAATACTCAAATGTAGTCAAGTCAATCACGTGAAAAACGTTGAAAAACCAGATATATATATAGCTTTAACTTGAATTCAACTCTAAATTATTTGAAATCATTTATCTTAACTGATGTAACAAGATGGGAAGAGGAGGGAAAAGCATGCAAAGCAGGATAAGAAATAATCCCAGGATCAAGCTACTTGTCTTAGCTAACAATGTACTGGTTCCATCCATCTAGCCAACCTTCCATTAACTTCCCTGTTCAGACGCAAGTGTGAGATCCATAAGCCACCGTCACAGAAAGCTTGCGGACTTTTGGAAGAAGTTTACAAAACACCACAGGAATTCTCCAAAGTTATCTATGAAGTCCTTTGGGAAGCCAATTCTAACCACACACACTTCTTCCTGACAGCAGGGTTTGGCAAACTATGGCCCACAGGCCACATCTGGCCCGACGCCTGCTCCTGTAGAACCCCTGCACTATGAACGGCCTTTACATTTTAAATGGCAAAGAAGGAGATCAAAAGAGGAGTAATACACCTCCTGACATGTGGGAGTTAAATTAAATTCAGATCTGTGTCCACAAATAGAGTGTTTCTGGAGCACAGCCACCTGACCCACGCTGCCTGTGGCTTTTGTGCTACAGGGCTAGGCTGAGTGATTGTAAGAGACCAGATGAAAGATTATCTGCCCAAAAGCTTGCCAAAACCTGCCTGGATTAAAAGTTTTGCTAATTTGCCTTGAAATAATTGGCTTTAGCTATGTAGCTTTGCATAAGAAACTCCAGATGGTTTTACTGAATACCATCAGAGTAACATAATAGAGAAAGTATTGTATCTCATTGTAGATAAGCTAAAAGCCAGCATATCTCTATGGCATTTTTGAAAACACACACACACACACACACACACACCAAACAAACAAACAAACAAACAAAAAACCCACCTGTATTTTTTAACAACAAAGTAGTTCTTCCATCAAATCACTTTATTATTCCCAGTGGGGACAGTTATTACTTGCTTTACTGCTTCTGCCACTTAAGAAGCCCAAAGATTTCCACTTATACAAAATATGCCAGGATACACGTGCATCGCTTTCTTGAAAGGGACGGAAGAAACAAAACAGCAGAGGCGCACAGCAGGGGCTAACAGTCACTTTCTGGCAGTCACCAGGGGCAGTAAGAGTGACCAGCAATGCTACCTCTGTCTCCGAATAAAGTCTTCAACAGAGTCTCCCTCCCTGGGCTTTTTAGTAGAAATATTTTCACACACACAGAAAACTGAAAGAACAGGTTAGTGAAACGCCTATAAACTCTGCCTAGATTAATAATCACATGTTCAATTAATTACATGCTGCACATTTGTTTCTTCCATTTCTGCACCTGTCCTGGGCAGAACAGTGACTGACTCTTGGGGGAAATAATCTGCAGACCATCAAAACACGTCAGCCTAAATACTTTAGTGACCAACATCAGGATAATTATTTTCAAGGAAATAAAGGGTTTTTGTTTGTTTGTTTGTTTTTAAATATATATTTTATTGATTTTTTTACAGAGAGGAAGGGAGAGGGATAGAGTTAGAAACACTGATGAGAGAGAATCATCGATCAGCTGCCTCTTGCACACCCCCTACTGGGGATGTCCCGCAACCAAGGTACATGCCCTTGACTGGAATCGAACCTGGGACCCTTCAGACCACAGGCCGACGCTCTATCCACTGAGTCAAACTGGTTTCGGCGGAAATAAAGGTTTATAAAAAAACTTTAGAGAGGGTATAAAAAAATGAAATAGGAAAAAAAAACAAAACACCTCTTCAGACCCTCAACAAATTAGTGAAAATTTAGGCAACCTCCCAAACCCCAGTAATACACAGAGTTAACACTGAAATGTTGCAGAGACCACAGGAGTCATCTGATTAACACCATGATCATCAAAGGAGACCAGGACTGCTTAGCCTCCGACACTCCGCAGTTTCTCCTTCCCAGAGCCCACTCTGCACTCACCTGAGGGCAGCAGCATGGTACGTGTCTACATAATCAGAAATGAAGAGCTCTCGGTTCTTGATAACTGGGTCTGTAATAACGAGTTCTCTTCCAGAGTCTGTAAAAAAAAAAAAAATCAATTCATTAAGAGGATATTAAAACTGAGGGAATCGTTTCCCCAAAACAATTAGGAAAATTTTACAAAGTTTTTCTTTCAGGGTCACCTCCCTCTAAAGAAAGCACAATAAGTCACCAAAGCACAATTGGTCAGCAAACAGAGAAGAGGAATAATGTAGAGCAGAAATGACAAAAACAAATATTCTGCTGGGTGTTTTATATCTTTTACTAAAATCCATGATTTGCTGAAATGCAATAAGCACATTTTTTTTTAAGGGAAGAAACAACTATTGCATTTTAGCAATTTGTAAACTACTAAATATTTAATCCTCCTGTCTATCTTATTTTTTATTGCTAAATAGTTCAGGATGAAATGAAATCAGAGTTTCCATTAAAAAGAATAACTAAGTTACTATTTTAAATAACAAACCATAATTTAACTGCATTAACAGAAATTTTTATAGCTTCTAAGGAAAAAATAAGTAGTAAGATGTGAAAGAATATCGTTCTATCATTCTTCAAAACTATTTCTGACGATGGTTGGTGGAATGAAAACCTATCACCAAAAGTAGCGTGAAGAGTGAAGGGCATAGACATCAGGGACAGAGCTGGCCCTGGCAACTTCCTCAGCATCTCTCAGCCTCATTTCCTCATCCGGAAGTGGGGAGCGACTACAGCTAATGGGAAACAATGGGAATCAGCGATCATGAGGTCTAGCACCTCTCAAAAAAATCAATGAAAGGGAGCTATTATCCATCTGAACCAATGTAAGACATCGCATGTTCACATCCCACGTGTACATGGCGTTATTGGGTAGACACCACAGTGCCAGAGGAAGAAAAAAGATGCTCTGAACAACCTTCCTATTGTCCTGAAAGTCAAGATGCAAGCTGAATTCCAAAACATTCAGGAAAGCTTTGCTTTGAAACTGAAGTTCAAACCCTGAATACAGAGAACTTCAATGACACCGACTCTGTTGAAAAAGAGGAAAGAAAGTACAATCCTGTAGGTTATAAGCATTATTAGTTCATTATTAGGTGAGAAAAAGAAATTACTGTCATTTCCAAAAAAGCCATATTCTGAGTTTCAGAGGGAGACACCATTAGCATATGCTCAGGTTCTTTCATTTTAAAGGCAAAAATAACGAAAGAACTCAGCAGAAAGTGAATATTCTACTAACATCCTATTTATAAGAAGCTATTTTAGGAAAAAAATGTTCATAGTAGTTATCTCCATTTACTAAATCTTTTTAGAATAAACTTTGTCCAAAGCTACGAAGGAAATATTTACCATTTTCATTGTGTCGATCCTGAACCAAATGCTGATACACAGAATCTGGAACTTCAGACTGACGGTAGTACCATTTGACGTTCATGAGTAGGTGGTCCCTCTTACTCTGAAAAGGAAACTCTAACAGCATTAGGAACAGGGCTTAGGTGCCCACAGCTGCACACCATACCCATGAACAAATCCCTGGAAACAGATGGACAGGCAGAGAGGGAAACACAATTACCACCAGGACCACAAAAATACGTAAGTCAATAATGAAGTCAAATTTTACTTTTTCTAAATTACAGCCACAGGACCCCTCTGATCTGATCCCTCAAAGCTGCTCATTAAAGGGAAACAAAGGAGACCAAACCCCTAAATCTGTAAGTATCCCCAGTTTAATTCACTCAATGTTATATATTTTATTTGGCATTAACTACATAGTTCTACATGAATACATGCTACTATCTTAACTTTTGACTCTCTTAAACATTTATGAACTGTGTTATTTATGAATATATATATACACACACACACTGTGAAGCCGTGAAGGGCAGTACGTTAGAACAAGGCCTGGCACAGTCCTCTCTCCAGGGTTTGCCAGTCACCCAGACTGAGTTACCTTCCCCTCCACTTACTGCCACTTAATGTGCAGTTTCTGTTGCATGGCAGACTAACACAGCAAGCTACGAGTAGTGGTGAAGGTGCTGAGGTCCATGAAACATGGACCCTGGTTTATTTATTTTCGACTTTTTCGAGAACTGAACATTTTGTACATAAATATTTGAGAGTTCTATGATGATCAGGGACACATAGATGTTTATGACACTTGACTTTATTAGCTCTAAAAGTTACCTTTGTTCCTAGTTCATTCAAAGAACAAAGAATCAAACACTGCCCTTCCATTGGAAGGTTACACAGTGAGGTGCATCATCTCTGTGCCACCGGCTGTGAAACATCTCAACATGCCAGCACACTAAGGCTTCTCGGGGCCTCATCAAATAGCTTCCCAACAGGGAGGGCCTCAAGAGACTTCCCAAGGTGAATGCTGTATCCCTCATAGCAGCTTCTATCTTATCACAAGTCAGCAGGTCAGAAATGAATGAGAGCTACAATCTGAGAAATGTCTCATGTTTATAAAGGAGATGACTAACTCCTCAAATATGTCAATGGAGCCGTCATTATGCTTCCTGCTTAAATGGCGCATGTGTGCCCGTGTGTGTGTGTGTGTGTGTGTGTGTGTGTGTATGTAAATAAATAGATTCAATAAACTGTATACAAAGAATAATCCTGCAGAATGAATACTCTTTACTTTTTATCCAATTTGCACTTTATATTCCAGTCTGTTTATATAGTGCAGGTGGGAAGATGAGAACAAATCAGTACCCTATATAATAAAGTGGTAATATGCAAATTGACCATCATATCACAAGATGGCGCCCCCCCACATCATCACAAGATGGCCGCCTCCACATTTTTTTTCATTTTTTTATTAAGGTATTATATGTGTACATATCTTACCATTGCCCCCCAACTCCGATACATACCCTCACCCCCCCCCGAGTTTTGCATTCATTGGTTTTGCTTATATGCATGCATACAAGTCCTTCAGTTGACACCCCCACATTGTCACAAGATGGCTGGCAGGGGAGGGCAGTTGGGAATGATCAAGCCGGCAAGAGAGGGCAGTGGGGGGTGATCAGGCCAGCAGGGGAGCAGTTAGGGGGCTATCAGGCTGGCAGGCAAAGTGGTCAGGGGTAATTAGGCAGGCAGGTGAGCAATTAGGAGCCAGCGGTCCTGGATTATGAGAAGGATGTCCCAGATTGGAAAGGGTCCAGGCTGGGCTGAGGGACCATGAATTTCATGCACCGGGCCTCTAGTGTTAAATAATAACAATGAATGCTACATAAAGGAGCTTATGAACAAGAGCAATTACTTCCAGCTGGGAATTATGAAGGAGGTAAAATCTAACCTGGGAAAATGGGAAATATTTCATTAGATTCTTTCTAAGCAAAGGAAGAGAAAATACAAGACATATACAAAGGAAGATACAAAGAAAGATACAAAGGAAGAGAAAATAGAAGATATATCCATATGCATATGGTCCATCTGTGTGTAGCAGAGGAAAACGTTCTGTGTGGTGCTGAAAAGAACCTGAATCCTGACTGCAGTCTGGCCTCCAGCTGGCCCACTAGCCCACTGCTGACCACAAACAGGAGAGCAGCCAGAGGGCTCCAGTTTCACTCCTAGACAAGGTATAAAACAGGCCCAGGATGAGAGCACTCATCATGGAAACAAGCAAACCAGGCGAAGGGGCAGTCTGTTCGATGGCACTCGGGGATAAACTCACTTAAGTAAACACACTGTCTAATACACGGTTTCTCAGCCTCAGCACTGCTGCCCTCTGGCCCCACTAAGGAAGCCGTCCTGTGTATGTGAGGTGCTGAGCAGCATCCCTGCCCCCAGACACACTGAGTGCCAGTAGCACCCCTCCCTCATTGTGACAACCGAAGCTTTGCCAAATGTCCCCTGTGGGGACATGTTACCTGCAGGTGAAACCCAATGGTCTAACTGCTTCCTCTTTAATGAAAGCTAAACCAGAATGGTAAGAATAAGACCTAGGTCAAGTGTGTCAGGTGAAGAACATGGACCCCAGGCAACAGAAAAAACCTTTTAAAGGTACCATAAACGGCAACTGTACAATGTCTGTTTTTCAGAACCAAGGCAGTGATTCTTGAAGTATAATATTTATGTTATCTTCTAATCCAAACACAGTTAATTATTATACACACATACAAAATTACTGTTCTGGTTTCTTTGTACCTAGAATTATGACTCCTAATGTTAGACTTGGATTTTCTAATGCAGTACTACTCAATAACCAGCGAGCGGCAGCATTGCATTAACAAGCCTCCAGACACTAGATTCCACAGATATAACACAACAATGTGTTGTGTTAAGTAGCTGTAAATTTAAGTAGCTGTAATAGATAGTCTTTCTAAATAGATCAGAAATTTGGTTTAAGATTAAACATCTATAAAGGGAGGCAGTGAGTTGTTTCAGAGTACTAGACTGAAATTAGGGAATCCGGGTCTTAGGCCTGTCTGCAATCACTAGTTAGCTGGGGTGACCTTAGTGGAGTCACCAAGCCACATGACAAGTGAAGGGATAGAACAAGATCATTTCAATGGTCCCATTCCATCTGGCTTATGCTTAGATTTCTTTCCCAGACAAAACCAAGTAGATAAAATGGGATTAGGGTAGTTTTCTCCACATCAACATAATGGCATTAGCTAACATTTCCATCCTGAAAAGGTTTAACAAGTGAAAATGTCATCCTCCGTGGAAGCTAACTGCGGTTCACGGGGAACAGTAGAAGGGAGCAGAGAGGACACCCCTCCCACAAAGCCCCCCACGCCCCTCACACACACGGTGCTGCTCACATGTGAGCCACAGGATTTCTTCCGGCTATTCTGCTCAAAATCGCAGAAAACTAAAGGCAGAAGTGAACTCAGAGCTCATCTGATTCAACCAAACCGCCTGGGTTTAAATCAGGGCTTTGCAACTTATCAAGCTGTGTGACTTCGGGCAAATTACTTTTCTAAGCCTCCATTTTGTCATCTGTAAAATGAGGAAAAATAATGGTCTCTAGCTCATCAGGTTGTGAGGATTAAATAAATGAATGTAAGTAGAGTGGGTTGGCTCTCAATAAATGCTGGCTATTACCAGCCCTGTTTTACAGATGAAAAGAGAAGTCAAGCTATAATAAGAAGTGGCTTATAAATTTATTTTCTCCAATTCAAAAAGCATGCTAGCAATAGCAATAAAAAAACAAATCATGTAGCAAATTAGGCGGCTGTATCTTCGCATTTGCAACAATTCAAGAAGCATATCAAGTATATCTGACAAATACGCCTCATTATTGACTAGTGATATAATTGTACAATTGCATAAAGGTCAAAGTGGTTATAAATGACACATTTTAAACAGAATGTGGTGAGAAGCTTCCTATGCGAAGGCACCCTAGGGTATATTTCTGAATACAGAGCAGAGCCCACTGGGAAGTAAATCATTTCCCACCATTTTATCTTTCAAGAGAGGAGAGAGAGATTGATTTTGACTGAGTCCAGGTGGTTGGAAACCACCAAACAGGAGCACTTACTTACAATAGTTTCAACAAGAGTGGGCCCGTGCAGAAAAAGGGGAGCAGCTGATTCTGGGTTAAATTGTGGGTTCTTCACATGCCTGGCCGGGATTTCTTTGAAATGAGGCGTTATGTAAGTTTAAGGAAATGAAGAGCTTAGCAGAAGACAAACCCATGCCCTCTGGGTTTAGGAAAAAGCCAGCTGAGGTTTGGGAGCAGAGGAGGGCATCGAGAGCTGTGAATGTCAGCAACAGGCTGAGAATTAATGAATTAAAAATTCAGAACTGAAATTCAACATTCAGAATGAGATCATGAACTAAGGAAGGAAGGAAGGCAACAAAGACGGAAAAAGCAAACAGGAGACTCCTGTTGAAGGGATACTGGTTCCTTTTTATCAACACAACCATCCCGAACACAAATACAAGATCCAAGGCCAGGACCTTTCAAACAGATTTTCTTGATTATTAACATAGTAAGTATTTCAATTGATTTAAATAGCCAATCTGATTCTTTCCTAGAAGCATTATCGTCAGCCTCTGGGAAAGGTTCTAACACAGGGAGGTGGGGTAGGAAGAGGACAGAAATTCAGAAATGACTGACAAGTGCAGATTCCTCGACATACATGGAGGAGGTCCCCAAACCAGAAAGGGAAGAACAATAATTTTAAATTCACCTGCGTCACGGAGCACACCTTTTCAGCCCCGTAAGTCATCTACCAGGTCTTGGCAGATACCATCAGGGGTCCCGAAGCCCGCCAAACAGGCCACTCCAGTCCCTCTACTGTCATCATCTGTGACAGAGATCTGGTCAAAGACTCGAACCAGGATATGAAGATGGATTCATCAAGTGAACAATTGTACAAACCCAAATTTAATTTCAGCTGCTTAGTTCTTGGGATTTTACATTTCAAAAATATAATAGATCTAGATTCAGTTTCAGGTGAAATCAGATCAAATTCTTGTTTTATAACGCCAAAGAGCCAA